TATATATATTGATCCCAAACTTTATAAAATATATAAAACAAAATATATATATGTATGTATGTATATAAAATATCTATAATATACCTACTGTATATTGACCACTAGTGGTGAACCTCCACAGACATTAAAAGACCCACTGATGCTAAAAGTAGGGAACTGTGCCACAAGCATCCAAAAAAAAAAAAAAAAAAAAAAAAAAAATATATATATATATATTGATCCCAAACTTTATAAAATATATAAAACAAAATATATATATGTATGTATGTATATAAAATATCTATAATATACCTACTGTATATTGACCACTAGTGGTGAACCTCCACAGACATTAAAAGACCCACTGATGCTAAAAGTAGGGAACTGTGCCACAAGCATCCAACGTCCCTCCGTACAGGAGACTCTCAGAGAGCTCTGTTTCTCAGCCCAACAGGAAAAGGGGAGGGGTGGTAAGACGGATGAAGCCCTACCTGCCACTTGTCTTTTACCGATCTGCCAGTTTGATGCCGCAGACGCTAATGGCCCTCAAGGGAGGTGGCAAATTAAGCGTGCATGGCTTGTAATGAATTCGGAGGTGCATGTTCTCTAAATGCAGTCTGCAAGAGAAAAACCTGAGAGTCCGGAGACAAATGCAGACCTGTCTTCCCATTTATGTTCCGTAGGGTGAAGAAAACGTACAACGGTTCAACTGAGTTTATCGCTCAGTCCGGTTTTCAGTCAATGGTCAGTGGCTGTGTAATATTTGTAGAGTGTTATAGAGGAAATCAAACTCCCTTCGACATAAAGGCTGACAAAATGGCATGTATATTTTAGCAGGCTGAAGAGGCAGCGTGAAATTAAAATTCATGGCGGCTCGGATTCATAAGTTAAAAGAGAATGCGCAATCAGTACCACCTGATTGGACACAAAAGGTGTTGGAGGTGCACAGCGGCTTTTCACAGCTGAATGGCACCTATTTGATGAGAGGAAAACAGACACCAATTAAATTATTCCACAAGGCTTTATCCTAGTGGTCACAGAAGCGAGGCTCAAGCGTGCAGCTTTACTGTAATCATTAGACAGTGCCCCAATGGAAAATGCATGAGCTATGTCACCTCAATATTCTCATCCAGCTCGACAAAATCCTTGTAAATTACTCCCTATCAAACGAGACCCCTCTAGGACTCTAATATGCAAGTGATTCAGATAAGACAAAGAAATGAGACACAGTGTTATGGTCCAAACTGTGTCATTTCGGGACCCTTTACACTCAGGGTTTTCAACCAGTGGTCCATTGAGAAGATAATTACATTTTCATTTAAAGGGATAGTTCACCCAAAAATGAAAATTCTGTCATCATTTACTCACCCTTATGTCGTTCCAAACCTGTATGAGTTGCTTTCTTATGTTGAACACAAAAGAAGATATTTTGCTGGTAATCAAACAGTAGGTGGTTGCCATTGACTTCCATAGTTTTTTTTTCCTACTATGGAAGTCAATGGCAACCACCAACTGTTTGATTACCAGCAATCTTCAAAATATCTTCTTTTATGTTCAACATAAGAAAGCAACTCATGCAGGTTTGGAACGACATGAGGGTGAGTAAATGATGACAGAATTTTCATTTTTGGGTGAACTATCCCTTTAATTTCTAACTATTAACTAATTTCTAATTTTCAACGTAATGATCCAGTGTAGTAATCAGGGTTCTGCACCGTTCACAACTGAATTAAGAATGTCTTTTATATTTTAATTCAGTTCCTGAATTTAAATAGATTATTAATTGACGTAGCAAACATGATGCAGAATTGCAATTCGAGTTTGAATGTAAGGAAGTAGAATGAAAGGTTACACTTTTTTTAAGGTGTCCTTGTTACAGTCTATTTATAAAGTTAAGTACTGAGTAATAATAGTGAACAACATTAACTATAGGGTTAGGGTTTGGTTTAGGGTTAGTTGCTTGAAAGTATGCATATTTTACTGTTACTACTATAGTAAATATATGTTACCACATTTTAAACTGTTTTGGAAAGCTTCGAAGACAGATACATTTGAATAAGGTATGAAATGCCACCTATATAAATTCATATTTAGTTTAATACATTAACTTCTGTGGGCCAGTGTGCAAGAACACTTCATTTGTCTTGGAATTCCAATTCAGTTACAGTTCCATTCTATTTCCTGTCATTCCGATGCTCTTGAATGGAATCAGAGCCTGAATTCTGTTCAACCTTGGTAGATAATGTTTTAAATTAAATTTATAATGGAGAAAATATTGCTTTTTTTAGTCTGGGCTTTCTAGCTGAGAGACTGGGTAGGGGGTCCTGGGCCCTGTAAAGGTTAAAAATAATAATAATGTGATTTTGAGCAAAGCATAACGTTTATCTGAAACGTCAGGCCTGTATTTTTTCGCTTCATTTGTTTGGTTATTTCTGAACATCAAGGGCAACAAATTAAGTTTTACTTTCTCCTTTCTGTACCTCTTTTTTCCCGGGAAAAGAGAAAGAATGATAACACCGCCACCTCCAGAAGCATTTGAAATTCTGACAGTGGCTCCCTCTCTCCATCTTGCTCCTCTCTCCGCCGCCACCCCAGCGACTTCAATCGCTCTGGCCTCAGCATGCATT